CACACCACAGATAATAAGATTAAGAGGCTTGTTGCTTCAAGATATGGTACTGGCAGGAGATACAAATGCATTAGAAAGGATTCCGAGGACCTGTGCCTGCCAGGAGAAGATGGGAACTACCTCACATTAAGGCACAGAAAATGATGCTCCTTCCAATGGACCTTCTCTGGGGCCACTGTAGCCAGAATTGCCCAGAAACTCTGAGCCAAGGTTAGGATCCCATGGTTTTGGCTGTGGGAGTTTCTGATTTGCTCTTGACCCTCTGTGTTTGGAGCCTCCATCAGTGCTTTGGCTTCTACAGATGATATGAGCAGACCAAAATCAGTTTCAATGTAGGGAGGAGGAGGAACTTGCCCAATGCCATCTCATTTGTTCGTTCAACAAATATTTGCAGAGTACCTAAGAGCATTGCATCCCAAGTGCTAGGCACGCAATGAAAAACTATCATGATCTGGGTGTGTTACTTAATTCAATGTAAGCATTTCACATTGTATATGGAAGCAGTACCCTGAAACCCATAAATGCATCAGTGTACAAAGTTATGATTAAATAAAAATAATTTTTAAAAAGCTATAATGATCCTTGAGGGCAGCAACAATAAACAAAACAAATATGTAATCGTAAATAGTGGAGAAGCTACAAGGACTGAACACCAACCTCTGAATAAGGTGTGTGTGTGAACAATTGTGTGTGTGTAGGTGTATATGTGTGTAGAGGGGGTGGGAAACTGCTTAGAAAAGCTGGCCAGAAAAGGACTCCCTGAAGAGAAAACAGTTCACCTGGGACCTAGAGGGTGAGTGGGACACAGCCATGCCCAGCCTGGGGAGAACATCCTCAGCAGAGCAAGTTTCAAGGGTGGGAAAGAGCTTGGTGTGTAGAGGTAGAGGCCCTGTGGGCACCCTGGAGCTTAGGGTGGGGGGAGGAGAACTTCAGGTGAGAGCCCAGGGTCAGGCATAGGCCAGGTCACATAGGACCTTTCAGGTCACAGTAGGCAGTTTGGATGTCAAATGAAATATAAATGAAATAAAGGAGTTTACGTCATTTATTAAAAATAAAAAAAGAGTGACGCATCTGTGAATGTAATTGCACTTGGATTTGACTGGGTGCCCCTATTAGGACATGCGGAAAGGAATCCTACCTTTGTGTGCAGATTTGTTATGAAAATGTATAAATGTTTTGTTCTCGGCCATTCTCCTCTAGCTGTGCTGGAAACAGAGTTGATACCCATAAAGCTCTTGAAAAAGAGGGGACCAATAAACCAGGGGGGACCCAACTTGCACTCTGGGTCTATATTGCATTGTTTTGCTCTCCAGTGAGCTGAAAGCTGGCAGTGTCCACTAGGCCCACAGCAAGAGCTTAGTCTATTTTATGTCTCTGTTCTCGTCTATGTCTGCATCTTTTTCTAAAAAATTTTAAAATATGTTAATTTTTTATTTTTATTTTTTTTTACAGTTTTGGCCGGGGCCACGCTTGAACCCCCCATCCCAGGTATATGGGGCCGGCACCCTACTCTGAACCACAGGAGCTGCCCAAAATATGTTCTTTTTTTAGATACAGGGGTCTTGCTCTGTTTCAGCCTGGCCTTAAACTCCTGGCTTCAAGCAATCTTCCAAACTCACCCTCTGGAGTGACTGGGGTTACAGGCATACCAGTTAGGTCTGTTTCTCTGTCTCTGCTCCCTTATGGTACTTCTTGGGATTATCTCCCAAATAAATTGCTCATCAAATCCATGTGTCATGGGCTACTTCTGGGGAAATTTTACCTAACTATTAGGTTAAGTTTAATAAAGAAGAAAAGAAAAAAGTGAGCTTGCTGAGGTCACTGGCACACATTCAATCTAGGCTTCCTTTCCCTAAAAGAAGTGGATGGTGCCACCACATCCTAACTATTAAGCATTCGAGAAGATGTGACAAACCTGGAATCAAAGGTAATCATGCGGCTCCCTAGATACCACAGTCCATCATTGGCTCTGTTAACAGCTGGTGAAACTACATGTGGAGATTGAAAACGTTAGATTTTAAGAAACAACATTTTTATGTTGTTTTATGTTATTTGCTGTATATAAATGTGAATTAGATGAGCTTCAGCAGGAAAGAGGACAAGAATATTTCAGAATAGTTCAAAAGGAAATTTGTGTCATGTAGCTGTAATATACAACTTGTGGTAATAAATCTGTTAGAAGTTCTGTACTTCTCTTAACCTCCACGACCAAAGAGCTCTTACAATTTATGATCGCTTGTGATGCAGATAATCAAAAGTTCACAAGCTAGTCAAGAATAGAATCTTTGGTGCAGAATAGGAATAAATTCCCCTAGATTAATCTTCCAATGCAAAATATTTTGTGTAATACCTTTTTATTCATATAGTTCTATGTGAGGGTTTTAATTTTGTCTCTCAATGAAGCCATCAGATATTGTCCTAAACCCCAGAACTTTCTGATTGATTCTCTGTATGGGGCTTTTAAAATCACGGATTAGGGCTGGCGCAGTGACTCATGCCTATAATCCTAGCACTCTGGGAGTCCGAGGCAGGTGGACTGCGTGAGCTCACAGGTTTGAGACCAGCCTGAGCCAGAGCAAGACCCCATTTCTAACAATAGCTGGGTGTTGTGGTGGGCACCTATAGTCTCCGTTACTGAGTTCAGGCACTACAGTCTTCAAGGCTGAGACAAGAGAATCACTTGATCCCAAAAGTTTGAGGTTGCTGTGAGCTGTGACACCATGGCACTCTACTGAGGGTGACATAGTGAGACTATTTCAAACAATAAATAAAAATAAAGAATTAAGGGTGAAAGCAGTTCTTCTCAAATAGCTCATGGCCTAGGGAATCTCTTTAATGCCTTCTGGTTCCCATGAAATCAAAAAAATAAAAAGGGAGGGGTCAACAAGAAATGAGGAGAGCAGGTAGTGACCTGTTATTGATTTTCCAAAAGATGTATACATGGCGGATGTTAGGAATGAACTCTGATGTGGTTCATTCCTGCTTCCTTAGGTAGCTGCCATGGGATACCTATGGATTTTTAGATGACAAATGGAAGCATATTCTCGAGCAGTATGAAAAATTTTGAATTACTGTCATGTTTATGTTGTGTGTGGTCCTTTTCATGTCAGAGCTGGCTATGTGGCACCAAATAACACGTCCTTAAGAATCCTGAGCATGAACTAGAGTGTGCTGAGAGGCACAATGAGTTTTCAAGTACAAACTGTCAGAAGTCCAAATCAAGCTTTCAAAGAAATCTGAGTGCTTTCTTGTACAAAACACTGTGAACTTCCAAGTACAAGGGTGATAAGGAAAGTGGGTTATACTTTGTGGAGAAAAAAGTTTGGTGTGTAGTTCAGAGACACATCTTTTGTCTTCTTGTTCTTTCTTATATTTAATTTCAAGTCCTGGAATAATTTAATTTAAAAACTGATTACAGTCCTTTTAAAAGACTCATTAGAACTTTCAATAGGAAAGTCAAATGTGAAACCATTTTTATTTTGCAGTCAGGCTGAGGAAATTGCATTTTTTAATTCATCATCAGATTGGGTGAGTGGACTTCAGAATCAAGGACTGGGTTGACTTGTCCATCAGGTGAATCCTAAGACATGCTGCTGGACTCCAGGGAGCAGCCTGGCACTCTGAGCTCGGAGCTGAGCACAGGTGTGCAGGAGCAGCTTAGTAGGATAGAAAGAATGAGACTCCATGCCAAATTCTTGTACTGACTCTGCCCCTTCCTGAATGACCTTGAGTAC